AAAGGTTTTTTTTTTAACTCCAAAAAAAAAAAAAACTAATAAAAAAAAAAAAAAAAAAAAAAAAAATTGGTGGTAAAATAAATAAAACTTTTGAGTGGAAACTCACTAGAAAATGGTAATGCTGGGCTTTTACTGGCAGCTAACCTACTTTTTTCATTATATAAACCTTTCTGCATCTGGGTCAGTAGGACCTTTAAAAAAAATAGCCCCCCACAAAAAACACAAACTCCTCTTATTTGAGTTAAACAGCTTTGGGACAACAGACAAAAAGCACATTTAATATCAGAAGTGGATTCTGAATCCCCTCCTGGCGTTGGTAAACCTTTTACTCCAAAACTCTCCCATCGACGGATGAAATGTCACTGATTGGTCATCATTCACAGCCGGGATTATCCCACCGGTTTAGTTTGGAAACGCATCCAAAAAAAGTTTTCTCCAAACTATTCTCATGTCTTCTTTTTCCACAGGTGTGCAACCAGGCTCTCCAGATGCACGGTGGCTACGGTTACCTGAAGGACTACGCGGTGCAGCAGTTTGTGCGGGACATTCGAGTCCATCAGATTCTTGAGGGTGGGCTCCTGTTCTCCTTTTGGCAGCAGCAGATCTCAGTTTTATTTATGGGCTTACATCTTTTATTGTCTCCTGCAGGAACCAACGAGGTGATGAGGATGATTATTTCTCGAAACCTGCTCACAGAGTCGTGATAAATCTGTTCCCACCGCCTCCAAACGGACCACGTAGTTGTGGTCTTGATTTATTGCGACAGTGTGGCCGGTCCTGATCACACTTCTTCCAGTTTTGACAGAAATTATCAGAGAGGTTGGTGTAAATGAGATGTTATTTTTGAGGTGAAGCATCAGATTATTTGCTGCGTTCTGAGCTGTGACAGGGCTCTTAAGGTGGAAATCAAGTTTATCCTCTAATGCAAAGTGCAGCACCTTATCAGGAACTGCACAGGTTTTCATGTATTAAAGTCTACAATCATAGTTCATTAAAACTAAAATATTGGCCACATAAATGTTTTTCTGATTTATCTGCCTAAGTCAAAAAAAAAAAAAACTGTTCCCCTGCTCAGATTTTGCAAAGTAATAGACAGATATAATGGAAGTAGAAGGTCAAGATTTCATTTCCAGAACAATCCTGACACTGCAAAAACACAAAGTACTACCAAGTAGTTTTGTCTTGCAAATATCTTCATACAATTAAAATAAGCCAAAACTAATTTACAAGTAACTCTTCTTCAAGATTTAAGAGCTTGTTCTAAGTCAAATTGATAAGAACAAGTGTTAGTTTTACTGGGAGATTATTTCATTTATAACAAAAGAGAAGTGAAAAAATCCACCAGTGGAACTGATACTTTTTTTCAAATCAGTATGAACAAATTCTTCACTTAAAAAAAGTTACAATAACTTGCAGAGAAGTTACTTGTAAGTTAGTTTTGTCTCATTTAAGGTGTGTTGAGATATTTGCACTTAAAAACTAAACAAAAGTACTTGGTAAGATGTTTTAATTTTATAGTGTAAGTATAAGGGATTTCTTTTTTTTCTGTACTCAAATGCTAAAGTTACTATAATATCACCATTCTATACAAACATCCTGTTTTTACCTCTTGAAATGCTCAATAGAAACATATTTAAGCCTGGAAGACCCGGAGACAGAGAAACATGTTTAAAAACAAAAACAAAAAACGGTTCAACCTTGTAGGTTGTTTTGTAGGTGCACTACATTTTCATCTTTTTATATCAGGTGTAACACTACATACACTTTACAAAAACATCCACTTCTCTCTCATCACTTCATTGAAGGCTGCATTTTCCAAAAAGTCTTGGAATCCACCAAAACCCACCTTTGTGACCTCCTGGATGAACTTTGAGTAGTTTGGTTATGCTGGATACTCCTCTGCTTCGTCCTCCATTTGTGGCTCACTGAAATGTTTTGTAACTCTTTCCACGCTGATAGGTGTTGATGAATTTGTTTTTCTTTTTAACAGAACTTCTTTAGATTGAAGAATGTTTTTTTTTTTTGGCCTACTTCATGTCGTCAGTCAGGTTCTGGCAGTACTCGTGCTTGAGTGTCGGAAATGAAATTGAACACAGATTTCCAAAATGCAGTGGACCACAGATGATGATTTTTAAACGTGAGGCAGAAATGACTTTATCATGTAGGGCGTCGTTGGTCTGGAGGCGTTTGTCTCTTATTACATAATTGTTACATTTCTCTGATGTTAAAATTAGTATGATATGAAACATTTGACAAATACGCCAAAACAAAACAGCTCTATAAGTTGGTAAATATTTCTTCACATGCTGAAAATTATGACTTAAAGTTTATTTTATTTTTATTGTTTTACAATGTGAAGCTGAGGAAAACAAACTGTGAGCAGCCCAGATAGTAGACAAAAGTTTAGGGCTAATTAAACTGAGGGATAAAGGTTTGAAGACATCACTGTCACAGTTTATAAGCTTAGAATGCAAAGTTACTTTCACTAGTTACTGAAAAAATTTTAATTTTATGCCATTACAAAATTAGATGTTTTTAAAATGTTAGTTTGTAAAGAATCAAACGTTTGTCAATAACACATTTTTTTCTGCCTCCATATTTTTGTTCCAAGTGGCCTTCCATGTCCCGTCTGTCATTGTATCTGCATTTTGAGTGTTTTTATCCAGATTTCTGGTCTGGGATCAGCAGTACGGTTGTATTTGCACTCCAAAATAAAACATCTAATCTTCCTCAAAACAAATATTTCGTGCCTGATTCACACTTTGGTCATTTTTTTTTTTTCGTAATGTTCAAAATATAAAACTCACATTAGTTGTCAAACAATCCAGAATATTTTATTTAAAAAATAAAAATAAACGTGAGAAATGACAACTGCATTTTGAATAACACGTGAAACCTTTTAAAGCTGCAGTAGGTAACTTTCATTCAAACTATGTTTTTACATATTTGTTAAAATTGTCACTGTATAATGACAGTATGGTCATAATTCTTGCTCAGAAGAATTAGGATTAAGATACGTCCCTGTGGTTCCACTGCTTGGTCAGAAACAACCAATCAGAGCCAAACAACCAATCAGCCAAACTCTGATTGGTTGTTTCTGACCGGGATCGCTGCATTAACTATTTTTTTATTTATTTGTTCTTTTTTTTACAGATAATTGGTCATATACAATACTGTTATGACAGGGTGATAGTTTTAACAAATATGTACAAAAAACAAACAAAAAAAAAACATACTTTTTAAAAACAAAAGTTACATATTGCAGCTTTCACAGCATCAGCCACATTATTTCCAGCATTTGCAAGAAAACCAGAACCGACTGAACCCGCTGAGCTGTTTTCTTTGTTAAAAACCAAAAAGTCTGCGGTGGCTGATGGAAAATCAAGCACCGTAATTATAAACCATCAACGTTACACTCAACACTTAGTTTACATTCAAGCTACCGTAACAGGCAAAGTATTCTTTAAAAATGAACGCTCGGTACCACACCATGGAATCACTCTGATATTTCTGCAACAGCTTAACACATTTTAATCAAACACAACTTGAGCAAGTTGAGGAAAGCAAAATACTTGCACCTGAACTTTGTTTTTTTTGTTTGTTTTTGTTTTTTTGCTCAGAACTAGCGCCTGGTGAACTCAAGACTAATCCCTACACAGGCAGGGAGAAAGGGACATAAAAATGTCCATTATAAGGTTATTATACAAAGCTTAGAAATGTAGTCAAAACGTTTTAATTTCCCATTAGCTGCGAAACCCTTTAGGATACTTCTCAGTGTTTTTATATCGAGACAAAATGCTAACCAGGCTATCGCAACGGTTGGATTCTATTACGAGGTGTGTAAAAATAAATATATATTTCTCTGTATTGAGCGTGAATGACGCATCCGGAACAAATGCTGCAGAGAGACGAGGAACGCTGCACTGAGTTTGATGCCTTCAACAACCTGAAGGGAAGTTTTTGCAAATAAAGTCCCTCGTTGGACATTTTCTCCTTGGACGACGTGAGGAAATGTTCTGCGCCCCGAGGCGTTCTCTCCATCTGTCCTCTGCCGGCTACACCAGGGAGCCCGCTTGGCTCTGGGCGGGCACCATGACGGCGACGGCCCCCATGCGCGTCAGAGTGGAGGAGCTGATGTGCGGCGACGCGGCAACCGGGCCAGGAACCTGAGGCTGAGGCCCCTCAGTTCTTTTCAGCGGGGTGCCAACCACGGGGGCCCTGGCGATCTGCGGTGGTCCTCCGTTCGCGCTGGGCGGCCTCTTGTGTTTGCGCGCAGGGGTCCCTCCTCCCATGTTGTACCCGGGGAGCCCCTGCAGGCTGCAGGCCGTCCCGGGTCGCAGCTGGTAGGCGTTGATCACCGAGCCCGTGTCCGATGCCGAAATGGGGGAGTACGGGTACGGGAATTTGGGCTGGTGGAGGTCCTGCGAGCGGGGGCTGGTGGCTATGGAGGACAGGGTGCCGTTTTTCGACACGATGTCAGAGCCGGTGTTGCTCTTGGCCCACGACACTCGCTTTGGCGCCTGAGCGTCCTCCCTGTGTTAGAGAGAGACAGGAAAACATTCAAGAGGCCGAGTTTTTTTTTGTTTTTTTTTTTTTTCCACAGACTGTCTGTCTCATATCATACCGTCAGGACTGTGACAGTTTTAAGAAATGTGTAAAAACAAAAAGCTTTTAATATATATTGCCTGCTGCAGCTTTAATCCAGCATTTTGTATTCTATTCCAGGTTTCTCCCAGAAAATTTGCTAAGCCCGGTGGTTGGGCACTAGGGGAGTCATTCATCCAGCGGCCCGTCGTGTTTTTGAGTTAAAAAAATGTTTAAAATTGACAGGAAATTTTAAAATATCACCTTATAATTAATTATGTGTTATTAAAAGATTGGAAGATTAATACCTGAACAACAACTATATAGTCTTAAAAAATGCAAACATTTTAGAAAGACTTAAAAAAATAAGCCAATCTTAGCCTGGTGGCCCACCAGGCTTATAATACACTGAGGGAAACCTTGCTATTACTGTTTTGCTGCCTTGTTGTACGAGAATGAACAAAAATAAAACCAACATTCAGTCTCCCTTTAGGCTATACCTTCGGTTTATGATTCTATTTAACAAATCTGCGACAATTTCGATTCCCTAGTGTAGATGATAAAGCGATCATAGTCAAACCCTCACTTGATCTCGTTGGCCATCTCCTCCTCTGTGTCCTGCTTCCTCTTCAGTATGAATATGAGGATGAGCACCATGGCGACCAGCCCCACCACGGACCCCAGAGTCGCTGCAGCAATCATTCCACCGTTGGAAGCTGTGGTGGGGAAAATAAAAAAACAAAAACCACAAGCAGCATTTAGACTCGGCGTTGCAGCTGTGGCGTGTGATGGAGCACCAGCAGATTCTCTGAGGGGGGGAGGAAGAGCGAGGGTACGTACAGGTGATGACCTCCAGGTTAATGGAGCAGCTGTCGGAGCCGGCCGTGTTGCTGGCTCGGCAGATGTACTTCCCCGACATGCCTTTGGTGAGGTTGCTCAGCCGGAGGGTGCCGTGCCTCTCGTCTGCAACACAACCGCACGGTTAGAGACAGACGCGTATTCAGGAACATTACTGTGAACGTTGAGACAAGTCAGGAGACTGTGGAGGAGAGCAGTGAGTGACTAGAGGGCAAAACCGCACAAGCTAATTTGTGGCTGCAGCAAACACAGTCAGCTTTTTATAAGTAGTGTTTACTTTCAGTGCAAGTACAGCTTCTCTGTTCGTCCAGAGATGTTTGTGATGAGCCGGTGTTATCTATTTTCCAGCACAACCAAGTATCTATGTTGCCTTTAGTTGCTATGGCTCTGTATATGAAACATAACTTAAAATAAATTTGACTGCGCAGTTTGACACTTTGACAGTGGGTCTCTGTCTCTTTAAAAAGCTCCTGCTCTTTCCGACACTTCCTTCAGCACGTCATCATGATGTTTGTCATTATGCAGTTTCCAACCATTCTTAGGAACGTTGGATTGAGAAGTAGTTTGCATTTTATGCCCAGAAGATACGCAGTTCCTCCAGG